GTTGCTTGCTTTGTTAAGCGTCACCTTGGCACGTTTTGGTACTATTTAGTACCACGATTTGCTTATAAACGTCTACGACTCCCACGAGTGTTTTTGTCTACTTCGGGCAACGAGACACTAGGAGGTCGCGCGCATACTGAGACTCGTAAGAAGACATACCGGAAAGCCGTCAACTCCGGTTAGCTTCATTGGTGAGCCCGCACCGTCTACTCTGTAAGTCAATTCGCTTTGGGTTTGCCCCTTTTCCTCACGATTCATTAGCTTTTGCACGATATATTTCTTTATCGCATTTGTACAATGTCCGAGGAACGTCCACCGGTAGATGATAGGGAGCTGGACCTACTGGCTATTAGTTTTAAGCCCGTAGCCTTCATCCCGTCAACTCCGGTTGGCTTCAACTTAATCAAAATGATCCCATATTCGGCGGAAGTCCGTAGCAGTAATTCTGGTTTTGTTTGTAATAAGTTGTGTCTTTCACAGTTCCAGTAAATGCTTACAGAAACCTTAACAAAGGAAATGCACGTATTCCAATGGGAATACGTATACAATGTCTACAGTCGGAAGTTCAAATGGCGATTCCCCAACGTCATGCGCATCGTCCCTTCTGGTTCTGAACCATGGATCAGTTCGTAGTTCACATTGTTGTTGTGAAATATCACCTTCTTTCCATCTTCAAACCCTACGTTTGTGCAATTATCACAGGAGCTGTAGCCATTGTGACACTTAGTTTGCTTTACAAGGGATCGGCCCGAATCATCACAGATTACGCAGTCTAATTGAAAGGCTAAACGGATGTTCCTGGGTAGTATACGTATCCCGACCGGTTTTGATTCACGTAGTTCATGGATGATAGGGGTGAGCAATTGCATGATATCCATCGTGCGTTGGAAAGTCTTGTTTGACTTAATCGTTTGTTTTACTGCATTAATTGTGTTTTTATGATTGGTCCGCGGAAGACTTTAATTTTGCCCCTCGAACAATCTGATTGGTTCAGGGTTATATATATCCAAGGCATGACGTTGACGGACATTGCAAACATTCTCGTCTCTAAAGCTAGACGGCGGCATAGATCCAGAAATGATGAAACAGGTGCATCCTTCAATTCAGTTATCACAGAGGAATATGCTTTAAACGAAGAACATCAGTTGCCTGAGTCAGCCTCAGTGTTCGAAAAAGTCCGATGAACTTCAGTACAATTGGATCGGGTTTCACGTTCTTCATAATAAAACCAGGGATGTAAGAATAAGGGCAAATTACCAATCACGTAAACATATGAGCTTAGAACATCTTCCAGAACTGGGCTCGCTGGTGACACAGCTAAATCCATTTGTATAATTTTGAAAATCATGAGAAAATATGTATCTATTTACGGAACTTACAATTTTCCTCCCAACAGAATTCAACACTACTTGGCCATGTAAAATAGGGCATTCCCTCAAACGGTGCGCATTTACTCGCGCGCATACTTTGTCTAGTTGTCCCACGGGGCAATTTGACTGTTGAAAAAAAGGTGGTCACATAGCGAAATGGTAGCGAAATTCGAATGAACGTCAAATAGACGGAGGTTTACAGTAAAACTTTCAAAAAGGCGAACAAAGTATAGCATAAAATTTCAACAAAAAGATAGCTTATTATTAATATGTAAAGATAGTAGATCTTCTGAGCCATGATTAACAAAATGACCGTGAAACGAAGTCACTGCGCAAGAAGTTATTTTGTAGCGAGATATCTCTACCATGTTTTAGCAAGGAGGGATTCTTTCGGAATTTCGGGGGTTAGGGGAGTTTGCATGCATATATAGATACAAAGGTGAAAGAAACAATACTTATATCGCAGACCAAATGATTCTGTACGCTGCTAAGTGTAAAAACGTGCTATAAGACAAAAAGTCACTTAAGAACTCTACCGCGACTAGTGATCCTATAGGGTGGGTCGGGATCAGATGCCTGCTCCAAGGGNGTCGTAGGGTTCACCGGGGTGGAGGGAGCAGGACTTGTTGGGACGGGAGTTGTGGGTGGTGCAACGTGTGGAGGACCATTGGTGAAAGTGATGGTCTCCTCCAAGTGCGCAGGTTTGAGTCGGTCAATACTTACTTGCGAGCTTTCGGCTAATAGAGGGAGGAGGTAGGCTAGGGGCGTTTGCTGGCGAGGTGGTTGGATATGCAACTGACGCATACTATCTACTAAACTAGCTGCATAGTCACCGTAGTTGAAGTTAGTTGGTGAGGTCAGTGCCACCATTTCTCCTGGAAGACGTAATGTGCGACCGAACGTCAACTCTGCCGGTGTGGACTGGAGATCAGTTTGAAGGCGGATCTGTAACCTAAGAGGACTAAGGGTAGAGACTCCTTCCAGTCTGTGTTCGCCTGTGCTGCCAGAGCACTTTCCAGTGGTCGATAAAAACGCTCGAGTGGTAAGCGGTTGTTTGGACGCGGCGAATGCCTAGATGCCTAAGTAGTTGTGCGGAAACACCCTCGAAATGAGAACCTCGATTGGTTGTAACTACCGCAGAACAACTGAAGCTAGCTATCCAATCCTCTGCGAAGGCTTGTGCCGCTGCTTCGCTGGATGCGGAAGACAAAGGCACAGCTACCGGCCACCGGATGAAACGATCTATATAGGTAAATATCTAGATAGACCCTTTCGATGGTTGCAGGGGTCCTACTAAGTCTACGTGGACGTGGTGGAAACGCTCGTCAAAAACGGGAATTCAATCCAGTGGGCTCTTTGTAGGACAAATAATTTTGTTACGTTGACAGGACAAGCATTGGCGTGCCCATTGGTGGATGTCCTTTTTGATTTTGTCATACGAAACGATCAGTTGTGAGGCGCGGATGCCTGAGTGTGACAAATTATGCAGTGTCAGAAAAATCTTTGTGTAATTTTGATGGGACCACCGGCCTAAGGTGACCTAGGTAGACGTCTCAATAGACTTCGTTGTCTGGGGGCAGAAGTGGTAAACGTTTGATGCGGAGCGTGGATTGCTTGAGCAGTTGCTCAATATCAGTGTCGCCGGTTTGCACTGTGGCTATGTTTTAAACGTCTATGGTTTCTGGATGAGAGCTACCCAAGTGATGGATGCGCGAAAGGGCATTCGCGACAGGTATATTAACACCAGATATATGTCGTAGATTGCACGTATGTTGTGTGATGTAATCAAGGTGTCATGACTCTCGTGTCTGTCGGTGGTAGACTTAATGGCGTGAGTGATAGGACGGTGGTCGGT